TGTTTATAGAATTGCAAATTTTGCAGGAAATGTTACCATCAGAAGCGTATAAAGAAGAATAGCCATGGAAATCAATTTGAGATTTTGGAGTTTGCAAAGAAGATGGGATATGTTTCCAAATGTGTTGCTTGCATATAGGATTTTGCTAACTGTACCTGTCGCGGTAGCATCTGCTGAAAGAAGTTTTTTCAAATCTAAATTTTTTAAAGTCATATTTGCGGTCTACCATGAGTCAAAAAAAGGCTAAACGGGTTAGCAATTTTGAGTATTGAAAGTAAATTTGTAGCGAATGTTGAATATGAAAAAGTAATTGATATTTTTTCTTCAAGAAGTGCACCAAGACATCATTTAGGTGATATGTTTATATTTTGTAATTTGGGGTTTATTTTTTATGTCTCCCTTTGTATTTTTCATTTTAATTAATAAAATTCGGCGTGGGGTTGAGTTGTCTCGCTTGACTAGGTTCCAAACCTTTAGTAAAATCGTATCTTTCGTTGTTTCATTTGTTTAAAAAATAGGCATAAGGGCATTTTTTAGCATATTCGCACAGGGTATCAAAAATCTCAGGAACGGCACTGATTATTCGATGAGGTCTTATTGATATGGATTTTATTATATAAAATAATTATAAAATGTATTTTTATTTAAATTTCTATTAAACAACTAAAATATTGTTTCATGTATAGAGGACAAAGTAATTATTTCCAAAAAAACAACCATCTTTTCCACTTCCGGGTACCATCTCCATCTCCATCTCCGTCTCCGTCTCCATCTCCGGTACAACAACTATCTTTTTCCAGGTACATCTTCGGTAACCGTCGACCATCTTTGTCTTTCGTCTCCGGTCATCATTTTCGTCTCCCGTCCCAGGTCACCATCACCATCTCCAATAACTGTAACACCCCCCAAACTTAAATTGCATATAACACATATTTCATTCACAGAATACATGTTCAAGCCCACCAAGGTCCAAAGTACAAGAAGTCATAGTACAAAATACACAACTCAGAGCTTCTTGTATGACCAGAACTCTGGTTCTACTAGCCAGAGCTTCTGGCTTAAAATGCAAGACCAACCGAGCCTCTAGCCAACGCGTAGGCCAACCAGAGCCCCTCTGGTCTGTCTTCCTTTGTAAGAAAAATTTCTAAGTATGAAATCTTAAAAATAACTTAAATTATGATTTAGACACAGAGCTCTTATCTAAAAGATGCAGAGCCTCTGGTTTAGATAAAACCTTAGTAAAAGACTTATATAAATTTCAAATCATCATTTAGAACCCTCTGGTTCTACTATGAGGACCAACCAGATCCCCTCTGGTTCCTTTCAAGGAACAACCAGAGTCTTTCTGGTTCCTCTTAAATCAAACACTTGTTTAAAAATAGAGTTTATCCAAAACCATTGGCCATAGGCCAAGTTTTTCCCTTCTCAATAACATCAATACTATCATTTCTAATAAGAACAACATCTCTGAGTCCTTAAATCACAAAGAAGTAAGAACTCAAATCTATTGTAATCTTAAGAGACATAATAGCAAGAGCTATAATAATTCCATACACAAATGTCACCCTTATATCCAAAGGGACACCTCTCCTTGTTATGCCACCCTTATAGCCGAAGGTACACCTCTCCTTGATATGTCACCCTTATCCCATGGTACACCTCTCCTTGATATGTCATCCTTATTTCCTTATCAAAATCTATGGATTAGTTCCAAACGAAGACAGACCAAAGTCACAACCGTCTTGATGAAACAGCCTCCATAGTTTTATCCACAAAATCTATAGATTATTCCCAAACGAAGACAGACCAAAGTCACAATCGTCTTAAAGGAATAACCTGTATAGTTTTTAACCAATAATGATTTCAAAACAATTTTATTCATCAAAACTTTGAAACTCAAGAACAATCATCCAAACACCAAATCTCCTTTAAATCCTCAAAACAAGATATCATTCCAAAACTGTTTTAAAGAGCAGAATCTGCTTTATCTTTCCAAAACAGTTTCCAAATCCAGAATCATAAAAACAAATCTTTAAACTGTTAGAAAACAGTTTTATCAATCCTTTCCCAAATATCAAACTATCAAAACCCAATAGTTTAAATAACATCATATAAAGGTTTTTTGTATCAAAAACTCACCTTAATAAGTACAGATTTGATGCTTAAATCACACAGCAATTCTTTCAAACGAACACAGAATCACCAAGATGCTTTTGTACAATAATCTTCTCAAGAATAACCTCCACCGCCACACTCACAAACCTTTTTCTCTCAAAAATCTTTTCAAAAGAAAACAAGATAAGATAGGATCTTATCTTTTTATCTCCTTATATATTTTCTAATAGAGGCGGTGCTGGTTTTATAAATATAAAACTCTTTGGGCGGTGGGTTTAAATATTTTAAAACCAACTTTACTTCACCATGAAGGATGCCTATTTTTATATTATAATAATAATATCCCCATATGCATATTATTCTACGCACACATATTGGTTAACATTTCCGCATATATACATCATATCCTGTATGTATGTATATTTTTATCATATTCACACGTATGTATAAAATTTCATATTTTTACACACATACACACACACACACACACATATATATATATATATATATATACACACACGACCCATGTATTTAATTAAATAACATGCATGTCAATCACGTATTTCACGTAGTAATCACATAAAGCTTACCTCAAACTAGGTTGTCAGAAACCCGGTTATAACAGTAACCATCTTCGACCTTCATCTCGGTGGTGTCTCATGGATGAGAAGAGAAGTTTGGTGGGTTAGAACTATGAGCAACCCAAGTGTGACAAGACACTAAGACCACAACCATACTCGCCGGCCACCGTCTCCGGCTATCTTCTCCAACTCTGGCTGTCATCTCTTACTGATGGGTTTGTATGATAGCATGGGTTTGTATGATAGGCTCACCCGATGTTATCATAGCAGCAGAACAATGGATGCAAGAGTGATAAACTTCAGAAGCTCGCGATGGTGAGGGTTGAGTTCGAGGCTGAAGATGGTCTGGAAATGGTGACAAGAGATGATGACAGGAGACAATGGCCGAAGATAGAGGCTGATGTATTGTTGGAAGCTCACAATGGTGAAGGTGGAGTTAGAGGGGGGGTGCTGGTCGGAGATGTACTATGGCCAAAAATGGTGGCCGAAGACATTGGGTGACCGAAAAGGCATGGTCATCTTCATAGTGTTTGGTATCAGTGTGTATATATAGATATGAAATATTGTTTTTAAATTATTTAGTAGAAATTAAAGAGAAATAGAATGAAATATAATTATATATTTATTTTATATAATAAAATCCATATCAATAACCACATCACCAAATAACGTTTACTTGTATGTTACGTCATCAACCATGTTAGCATGATAATCGGTCAAGGGTCAAACCAGTTATCCAGATAGTTAAATGTTTTAATTTATTTATTTTAAGTATCAAAATAAAAAATTTCAAACTATGTTACATAAAATATGAATAAAAACAAAATAGATTACATCCTTATACAATTTATCCTTTTCTTTTTAAAAAGGTCGCCCAAAAAATATAAAAACAACTTACCTTTCTAATTCTCAAAGGCATCCCTCCTTTAATATGCACATTCATTCTTCAATTTTTGTCTCCAAACCATTGTGGGACAAAGCAAAACAAACCACAATTCGACTTTTCGACCCTCGCTCAATCCACCCTCAACCCTCCCCTTGCACCGATTATCCACAAGGGCAAAGGATCGTGTGAAAAGGGAAGTTATGGTGAGACGTGCAAGAAGAGACCTGAACCCTTGATCACTTCTAATCTCATACGGACCCATAAATTGTGCTTTACAAGAGAATTGATCTAACATATCTCGATACATCACATTATTGTTGACATTCAATTAGGAATGATCCAAGAGTGCATATCTCTTCTTACGCTTCTCATCATAATTTCCCTTCTCACCAGAACCCAACCCTATCCAGAAGTTTTTACACACAATATGTTATCCTAATTCTGTGTCCCTACAAACTCATAGATGACGCTCTCCACTTTCTCATGTCCTACTTCCAAAGGGCACATACTCTGTATATTTGGTGATTGATCTAATACACAATCCTCAATCTAATGAGGTCTTTATGCTTGAGGGCTATTCACACACACACACATATATATATATATATATATATGTATATGTATATATATATGTATATATATATATATATGTATATGTATATATATATGTATATGTATATATATATGTATATGTATATATATATAGGGGCGCGATCAAATGCAGACCACTCAATTTGTACAAACCGTGCAAACCGTATTCAACCAATCATAATTTTTTATTTTGTTCATTTTTTTATAATTATGAGAGGTTGATTAATCATTTTTATTGTGAAGAGTGTTAATCATAGATATTATCATCTTYATWATTTTAATTTTAGAGAAATACATGAAACAATTTCATTAATGTTAGAGAAATACATGAAACAGTTTCATTAAGTATTATATGAAACAATTTCACAACCATATATGAAACAACTTCATCAAAAAAAGTATTATATGANATTATATGAAACAATTTCACAACCATATATGAAACAACTTCATCAAAAAAAGTATTATATGAAACAATTTCACAAGATTAAACAATTTCATGAAAAATTTCATAAGATTAAACAATTAAATCAACAGATGAAGGTGGTTTGCATGGTTTACACAAATAAAGGCGGTTTTCATATGATCACTCCTCTATATATATATATATATATATGTATATATATATATATAAAGTAACTGATAACTGAAACAAATAACAATAACTAAACACTACATATTCAGATCCAAAACAGAGGTGGAAGTTGAAATTTTTAGATCAAATTCGCCACTTGAATTCTTGAAAGCTCCCGAATCCCATAAACAAGTACTACAAAGACCAAGACATGCTTCAAGAAAGTTAGAAATAAGAAATAAACCAGTAATCATCAGTAATAGCGTGAGCCAGAACCATAAACCCGCTCGCCAGGGTATTGTCCTCTGGGCTCAAACCCAGGATCCCTAGAATCCCGGTTTCCTCCAGGAAACCGTGGTCTGTCTCTATAAGAGTCAACATTATAGGCTCTTTGCGACTCTCCACCACTGTAACCATGAGGCTCACTGAACCCCATCGCATTATTGGCATATTGCTGTTCCATTGCTGCCTGCTGATACTGCTGCTGCCGTGCATGTGATTCCCTCCGGAGGAACTCATCTCTATGATTAGTGTGCCGAACTCGAAGTGCAGCTAACTGTTCTTCGTATTGTGCATTGATTGCATTTACTCTCTGCATGCATCTTTGTTGTATTAGAAAACTGATTAGCCTGACAAACTTGAACTAGTGAACACATTTAGATCAAACGTTAATATGGCAAAATGCAACCAAGTTTGCTTTAGTTCTTATTTAATGTACCGAGTAATTTTTTTTCTCATTCAAGAGTTCCTATTTTGTACCTACTTTGATAGGTAATCTATAAAATCCCCGATCTTGTAACATCTGATGATGTGGATACCAAGTTATATTGATCGAAGATGATATGATGGTGGATCAACAGGAACTTTTGACTTGGCATTCACATCTTCAAATGTAACAAGATCCCCAGGTAATTGATCAAAATGGGTACAAAACTATGTTGTTATAACGGTCAAAATCTGAAATAGCGGCCAGGACCATGATTTGGTATAGCGGTTAGAGCGATGGTAAAGTGTGCTATAGTAGTCCACAAATAGCAGTTCATGTAATAATTACAATTATATATAAATGTATGAATGTATAGATAACATAATATATATCTTGGCGAGCAATCCATGTTGGAAGACAATGTTGTTGTGAAGAGAAATGCAGAATAGTAGATTGGAATAAAAGAGATGAGAGAAAAATAGCGAGTTTACACACCAATATTGCAAATCAAAATCAGCCCCCTAGCTTGTAATCCCTTAACCGACTTCTCTAAACCCTTTAAAGGCTACTACAAGCCCAACTCCGAATTGCGATTTTCACAATGCTACTGCAAATCAAAATTGTGGCCCAATTGCGATAATTAATACCACTATTAGCGGAACTGCTATTTCTCACCGTCATTTCCCCTAGGACCACTGATCGCAATAGCACCGCAATTAACAGGATAGGTACGAAATACTTTTATTTTGAAACTTTGTTACCTTGCACAAGAAAAATTTTCTTCCTTATACTAAATAGTATAACCAACGCAAATTCGGTTGCAATTTGAGGCATTTTGCCCAACGTCAATTTGAGGCATTTGTACTGTTTTTAGTACTTAATTTTGGTACAGCATGCAAATATACAACTTTTAGCTTCATAAGAATGTGAATTTAGATGAGTTACATGATACATGTCATGCAAACATGACATCCATTGATATTAGGTACAAGTAGAGCAAACCATGGGAAACATGATTAACCATTAAAAGCCATAACGAAGGATCGTGTGAGAATAGGAGTTAAAGTGAGAAGCGTAAGAAAGAATCTGGACCCTTGATAACTTTTTATCTCACCCCCACCCCATGAATTGCGCTTATCACGGGAATTGATCCGGTGCATCTCGGTGCACCGCATTAGTGATGAATGATGATCTTCAATCATGATTGATCCAAGGGTGGAGATCCCTTCTTACCCTTCTTACCATAACTTTCATTCTCACTGGAACCCAACCCTAAAGGCCATTGTGTACACAATTGAACATGCTTATTTGGATATAAGAAAAACACTTATGTTCAAAATAATTGAAGAAAATCAAAAAATGATTGCTTAATTGTGGAGAAACATCCAATGCTAATCATATAGGGATCATTACAGCCACAATTCCAAGTACAGGAATAAATCTGTGGAAGTAGGAAAGTGCCATGGGAAGTGTAATCTGCCTTAAGATTAGTTACTATGTGCGACTAAATTGGATGTAATCATTTGATCATGAATTTGCAATAATGCAAGGGCAAAGGAAAACACAACAGAAAAGTTCAAATCATCGTCTATAATTCTCTCATCCATGCAAAAGCCCTTGAGTTTTTGGACACGAGCAAAATCGGGAATTGCACTAGTAGCTAGCACTGAATGACCGACTATCGCTTCTTAGGCCTTGATGGCACATTTTGTGGCTTTTGATTGCTCAAACTTTTGCCACCACATTCCAACCACCAACAGACGACATCAAAGCCTCCAACAGAGTGGCCTGTTACTGTTAAATATGCAGCCTTTCATGAAGATTTCTTTATAGGAGAACAGGAGATCCGAATAAGAATTAACTATAGAAACCTACAGATCTTTAATCTTTTTGTTTTGTTTGTTTCACTCTTTTTTCTGCTTGCAACTTATTCTTGAAAACTATGCTTTTTTCGCTTGCTAAGTTTGGAATTAATTATATCACTCCTCTAACATGAGGGATGTTATGACATAATGAGTTTTATTAGCCACAATCTACCGGTAGGCCCAACAGTCCACTCCTAAATTACGTATGTTCCAATTCGATTCTATATTTCAAATGGAAAGAAATTTTCAATGCCCAACCCAAATTCTAAGAGAAAACAACCTTTCTGGTAGAAAGCATAATTAAAATGATTTTTTTTTAACCTTCCAGTGAAATCTGAAATCATATAGCATATACTTCAGTCACTTCTATGTAGTGCTTTTTAAATTAACATGTTCACTTGTGATTCAATATTCAAGAAGAAAATGCCGCCCATATTATATTATATACTACTTCATGGAAACTGTTCTTATGTGCTGTTTTCCATTAGCCTTCATAGGATTCTTGTCATGTTCAATATGCAAGGCTCTTTTTGCGTGTCATTTTGGTCTCAGAGCCCGCTTCCTACCTTCTATGGATGCAACACTCTCCTTGATGTTCAAACCCTACATGGTGTCATATCCCTCTCAATAATTTCACCTCCAAGGCAGATTAGTGCCACAGTTGAATTCCCCCATCTGATTGTTGGCAGTAATCAACTGCTATACCATCTCCCCAACTTGGCGCTTCAGACTCTTTCCCATCTTTACAGTAGCAGTAACCAATGCTTGCCACCACAATAGGTCTACTCCTACATCTGGTGCATAAATCAAGCCCAGTCACTGGCATTTAAGGCTCATAATCGTTGCTACACTAGGTACATCCCTTGACAACAGCCGACTTCAGGTGACCTCCACAGGCCCCTATGCAGGATCATAGCTTGCAACCATCGTCATACACCCTTGGGTTATATACTATGCTGTTAATATCGCGATATATCTTCGATATATCGGCGATATATCGGATATCGCTCCTAGAGAAAATATCGGTCCATAAATATCGGTCAAAATATCGTCCCCGATATTATCGGCRATATTTTCCGATTTTTCCCGATTTTTAGCGATATTTTGATGCAAATATTGGACCGATATATCGATTTTTTAGGGTTTAAATATTTGGGCTTTTGTTACTTCATGGGCCTAGTTTTTTGGGCTTGGTAACTTAAATTAGGTCTGAAATTGATCTGCCTCCATAACGGTCTTCTTCTTTCTTTTATATTAGCTCGTTTTTGAACACTTTAGATGATGTGATGTTTTAATTTTGAAACTATATTTCTAAACTCTAATTAATGCATATTATATATATAATTCTAAGAAATATTATGTTAACCGCTATTTTGGACCGATATATCGAATATCGGTCCTGACCGATATTTCGTATTCTGACCGATATAACAGCATAGGTTATATAAACTTTTGTTGCTTGGTTCTATCCGGAGCTATGTTGTACGGGTCTGAATGTTGGGCGACAAGAAAGGCCTATGACAGGAAGTTGGAACTCACAAAAATGAGGATGCCTAGATAGACCTGTAGTCGGACCATGCTATACTGGATACCAAACATCTTCTGAGCATAGTTGGGAGTTGCGACTATCATGGATAACTTGAGGAAGGAAGACAGGTGGTTTGCATACGTTCACATGTGACAGTTAGCAGCTCCAATGAGGGTAGAAAGTGTGTCAGTCACTGGGGCAAGGAGTAAGCCAAGAAGTACGTGGATTAGCAACTAAGGATAGGGAAGGAAGCCTTAGGCATTTCAAGGACATTACCTCTGATAAGAGTAATGAAGACGTTAGTTAGGGTAGGAGACTGAAGTGGAGACCTATAGCTAGTCTAAACGGGAGGAAGGGAGCTCGAGAGTTAGAGGGTGGGGGTTGGTAGTGAATCGGGAGATACGATACCAGAGTCCTAAGATAGACTTACAGGATGGACCGTTATCTTATTCTTACCTTTGTTATGTTCATTTGTTCTTGTTTCTTATTATATGGTAGTCTTCTTTCCATTTCCGTCTCTAGCCTTGATCTTCTTTACTGTTTACATTTCTTCATTTTTATTCAAACTTTTCGCGCACGCGACAAGGCTTTTTTTTTCTCACACTTTTTGCAAGTCTTCACGGAAACAGTTGCTCTACTCTCTAGGGTAGAAGACAAGTCTGCATACATCCCAACCACCCCCAACCCCACCTTCAAGAGGTGGATATACAGGGCAAGTTTGGCCTGGCTAGGTTTTCCATCCAGAGCTGCCATTGATTCCTGCCTTGAAACGAACCAGGTCTCTGTTAGGCTCCCGGTGGTGGTGACATACAAAAAAGAAGATTTTGACACGTTAGCAAGTGGGGAAAACCGTTAGAGAATACAACTCTCTTGAGGTCCAGATACTAAATTTGTTTAGAGAGAGAGAGAGAGTAAATAAAAGCGGAAGAGGTGGAGTTTTGAGAGGGGGAGAGATTATTCTGGGTGCGAGTGGATTGGTAGAGATTGGCATACTCTCGAATTGCTGCCTGAGTTTTGTAGTTGTAATTCTTGCTTTTTCCATATATTATATCAAAATACATAACCCACTATCTCATCTAATTTCTCTTGGTTACCTTTTTTTTTCAATTAACCTGGATATCCAACCCGCTATGCGAACTAATCCCAGGGCAACCACCTGCTTTGTGGGTAGCCCGGAGTCACCGCATTTGAACCTCCATGGCCACAAGAGAATTTTTATTCCTCCTTGGATTTGAACGTGGGACCTCCAGGCACTTTTGACTTTGGAGACTAAGCTCAAACCAATCAGGCACCACTTTTGTGGTTATTGGTTACCTTTCTTGATTAATGGGTTTTGCTATTGAGTTTATCAAGGGCCACATCAGTGTCCTTTTTATGTGATCACAGTTGTCATCACCATTGCCTGATTTTGGCTACCACCACCAATCAACATTCAACAAGCCTTTTTAACCGTGATTGCTACATAAGTTCATTCAACCAGCATCCGTTCATGGTCCGAT